GTACATTTATCACATGCTTTATTTAATTTGAATAATCGATAGAGACTTCCATAACTATTGTAACAGATCCAACATTATCGGATCTCTTTCTCTATATGTAGTTGACTTCTATTTATACTTTTATATGTAGTCGACTTCCATTCGGTGTAAAAATATAAGTTTCAATTATTACTTTTATATGGTATCATCCAGGAACCCTTCATCCTAAAAATTTCCCGGTTGCCACAGTTATCCCTCATCATGTGCATCAACGACAACTCCTTTTATTCTTCTGTTATTCATATAACATACTCTGACTCTCAAGACCCCATCCCGCATTGTTGTATAATTCTCATCCTCACTTAATTTGCTATCCACCAACTACATGAGTTGTAAGACTCAGATCGTAGCCCTCCTATATATGTGGTGGATCTCTATAAAACTTTTAATGGTTCCAACCCATCTCCCAAACCCATTGTTGCAGAAAACGACACCACCACTCCTCATCATGATTATGTTGCCTGGTTCCATCAAGATCTATTGCTTTTTAGAGCAATCACTCTATCTCCCTCCATTGTTCCTCTCATCACCAATGCATCCTCATCCTTAGATGCCTGGAAGATTCTATCAAACACGTATACAATACCATCCAGAGGTCACATCAAACAAATTAAATATCGACTCAAATAAACCACAAAAATCTCAGAGATTACAGATTACATGCGGACCATTAAAACCATTGTGGATGCATTCAGTATTCTGGGCAAGCAAATGGATGAGGAATACATCATAGTTGTTATTGTTATTGGTCTAGATTCCACAAAATATAAAACAGTAATTGAAGTTATCCATTCTATGACACTTCCATATCCTTCCATGAACTTCACGAAAAACTTATCAACCATGAACTCTCATTAGCTCAAATCTCATCTATCCATACAAGTATTCATCAATCTGCAACAACTTTTGCAACAACTAAACGGCCCCCACACAAACCTTGGAACAACCAAAATTCCAAAAATTCCCCTCCCATTTCTACCAACCCCCAGCAGCCAAATACCTCTACTCACCAGTTCCTAGGTAAATCCCAATGCTGCCTTACCAAAGGCTACTCTCTTCCTCCTGTAATGCTTTCAAAAAAAATATCCACATGTTAATTTGCCTTTCTTGCCACGAACCAACTACAACAAAAGTTCTCCTTAGGCACATGTCATGCATACCACCAACACACCCAATACGGGTTGGCTCTTTTATAGTGATTCATGTACATATCACCAACAATCTCAACGTCTTGTCCCTATATACTCTTACGTATACTCTTACGATGGCATGGATGAACTTTTCACTAGTGATGGTTCTCCCCTTACTATCACTCACGTTGGCTTTTTATTTCTTAAATTTTATAATACATCTTTTACTCTCACTAATACCCTTTGTGTTCCATTCACATCCTGAAATATTATCTCTATATCTCGTTTGTGTATTGTCAATCACATACTAATCCAATTCTAATCCTCTCACTTTCTTATCTTGGACTTCAAAACCAAACATATTCTACTCCGCATAATGGCTAATCCAGAGGTCTATGGACTTTGTTCTACATCACCACATCCCGCTTTTCATACACCTTCTAATAAGTCCACTCCTTGGTATCATAGACTTGGACATCCACCTCCAAGAGTTTTATAACATTTAGCTTCTACTATTCCTAGAATTACTTCTTTGAAAAAATAATTATAATTCCTATTGTATTAATAAAAGTCACAAGCTTCCTTTTCATACTACATCTCTTACTTTCACTAATCCACTAGAATTGATTTTCACTTATGTATAGAGATCTCCCCTTCAATCTGTCGATGGATAAAAATACAATAGTATATTTGTTGATCATTTCATAAAATACACATGGATTTATCCTTTAAAACACAAGTCTGATTCTCTTATTACCTTTATACGATTTCAAAATTTTGTTGAGTATTTCTTTCAAACAAAAATAAAATAATTCTTTTCTAATAATGGAGGTGAATATATCAAATTAACCTCACACCTAGCTTCTTGTGGTATTTCCCATCTAACCTCACCTCCTCACATTCATGAACGTAATGGCTATGCTGAAAGACGACACCGTCACATAGTCAAACATGCCACTATAATTTTGGACTTTTATTGTCACTACCACCACATACTTACTTAATATGTTACCTACTACCAATCTAAATAATACCTCTCCATATTTTTGACATTTAAATAACCTACAAAATCATGACAAACTCAGAAGATTTGGATGTCTCATATATCCTTGGTTGCGTCCATACACTAAACATAAACTCGAGCCCAAATCTAAACCATGCATTTTTGCGAGTTACTCTTCATCTCAAAGTGCTTACACCCTCCTCGATCCACTCACAAACAAAATTCATACATCTCGTCATGTTTATTTCGTCAAGTCTGAATTTCCTTACGCATCACTCACCAAAACAACTACACCACCGACCCCTAACCTGATACATGGCTTCAACTTGATTTTTTTTCACTTCTAAATTAGCTAGCTCAAAGCTTAGATCATCTCCCTCAGTTTGATCCTTCTTCGGATTCCCCTCCCAACAACCCAATCTCCAAAAATAACACCAACCGCCATTCTTCTACTAATATATATATTTAAACCCCACTGATTAAAATGAATCACCAATTCATCATCTTCTATACATCCACCTATTCCCTCCGTCCCCACTCAAACTACATAAATAAACACTAGAAAGAATCCCAAGCCAGATCCTAAATATCACAATGATAACTTCATTTTTTACCACTCTACCACTTTTTCTTTCCAAAACCACAAAATATTACTCAAGCCTTATAACACCTTACATAGAGCAAGACAATGCAGGACGATGTGATAGTTAGGAATTTCCTATCACCAATCGTCACTAGAGATTAGCATCAATCAATGATAATGATAAATTCATATCAAAGGAAAATACGATTAGTTAAATGGTAATAATAGGGTCAAGAATGAATGACCAAAAAGTTATATCATTCTTTATTATGGTTAGTGTATTTGGAAAGTACACAACAAAGTGATCCCAAGGATATAAGTGTTGCGAAAATGTGACTCCGATTAGAGAAATTATGATTTTATAAAAGATAAAAACCAACCGCATTAACAATGCTATTAACATCAAAATGACATACAGAAATCAGTTGAGTTTTGGTTAACGTTGCTAAAAGGAAAGTCTTAGTACTATGAGATATAAGGAGTTTGAAAAAGTAAAAGGTCAAAAATCGAATCCAATCACCTCCTAGCCCATTTTCTTCAAGTTTTTCTTCGTTTTAAGCCCAATTTGGCTTCTCCAAATCCTCCCGATTAATAATCTACACACGCTTGAATATTCCCCCGAATCTTGCAAATTTAAAGTTTATTTCTCTCCAAGCCTTCAAATAATCATCAAGATCACTCCATGCATCATCTCCACTACCCATCAAGCCCAAAATCTTTTTTTTGTCTACCAAATCCCATCGCTTCCCATACGTCCCGAACACTCCCGCTCCACTAGACCCGAAAACCTGCAATTATGCTCACAAGATTCGAAAGTACCCGAAATAGTGATAAAATAACAAAAAGGAAAATATGCATGGAAATTATCTAAATTATGAATGAAATATGCTAAAATAAACTATAAAAAGAAGTAAACAAAACTAACTATCAAATCACCCCAAGCTTAAACCTTACATGTCCTCAAGTAAGACAAGACTAAAATTAACTCGGGATGAACTATCCTAAGAAAATAAAAAGAATGGATAGAACCACGGAACCTGATCACCGTTAGTCAACATGGTCATAATAAATCTTGCTATTATCTCACAACTTTTTCATCTGATAACAATGAAACCATAAACCATAGCCAGGACAACTCCTTTAGGTGAGAAAGGAGGGATGAGCAGTCGCAACCTCAATGGAACATGCATACAATGAAGAATATCTGTAGTTGGGAGAAAGCAGCTGGATGGGCTCAGTTGGAGCTCTTCTTTAAATGTACACTCTGATATCATGTTTGCCGGTTTCTCTCATGTGTAACTAGGTTTTAATCGCTCGGGCACCGTTGTAGGAATCGGCTCACTTGGTGTTGGCCCAAACCTCCCGTAGTATCCAACTCGATAGTCTCCTTGACATCACCAATTTGCGAAAAACAACTCGATCTATATACAATAAAACATACCTAAATAAATGAATATCAAACGCCGGGTGACCAAAATGTTGGAAAATTTAGTTCAATAATTGAACCGGTCACCCTTTTCAGGTTTCTGCAGCTGGGAATTTGCTTGCCCCCTTTTTTTTAAACACATGAAAATGTCCACATGCGGACTAAAAGACTTCTCTAAAATCCTAAGAAAATCGCAAAAAGATATGGTGATGTAAAAAGACCGGATATGGATTCTACTCGGGGACAAGCACTAGTGCTTCATCCTAACGGTTCAAACATGATCAAGTGTGATCCTCTCGGCGGTAGTGATGGCAAGGCTAAGACATCCATTGCTTTAGTATATCCTACAGTCATTAGTATTATATGCATAATTCTTCAATCAAACTACCTGTCCATGATCACTTACCCCTTTAATCTACCAGCATCTGATCCCAAGTATGAACTCCCAAACTGCAGCTAATGGTCGCGGTTCGATGGGTGAGATAGCAAAAAGGTCCTGGACCAATAATGATACAATAACTATGAGCCTGTTCCATGGCATCCAAGGAGGTGAGAATAAACAGACAACAAAAATGCATGAATGTTAATGCCCTAAGCTAAATGTTATGCAAAATATAAAAGGTGAAAAAGAAGAAAATAAAATATTTTTGGAATTTTATATAAAAAAAATGAATGAAAATTAGCTTAAAACTAAAATGTTATGCAACCTATTTAAAAATGCATGAAAAAGTAAAAGATAAGGGAAATGCTGGGAATACACCTGCTTGGGTCACCCTCATCATCATCTACTTCCTCTTCATCATCTGCTTCCTCTTGTTCCTAAGCGTCGTCACCCTCATCATCACCGAATTCCGGGAATACACCTGCTTGGGTCAACTGATCTGGAGGAAGCCAAGTGTCGGGGTCGCCTGTATCGAATGAAGAACCGATCCAACTTGGCAGGATGTAAACCAAGGCTTTGTTAGAGTCTAACCAACGGTACGTGCGGGTTCCCCGATCAAGCAACATCTCCATCCGGATGAGGGCGTCACAATCTAGCAGGAAGTTCGGTGGGGTGTCGACAGGTATGTACTTAGGATCCGTGAAGTCTAGGCCGATGGCTCGACCTATGATCGTGATAAGTCCCCGATGAAATTTTCCCCTGTGGAACGCTGGCGTATGGAGTCGCATTTGTCTAAAAGAAGCCTGAAAAACTGAAGGGGAGTGCACGCCTCATGCTTCGGAGGAAAAATAGCTCACATCTATTGATTTGACCGAGCTCGAGTCGCCCGAAGATGCTTGTCATGAGAACTCGATGAGCAATTTGCCAGCAGGGGTGAACAATGTGCTTGGCATGCTGTCGGCTCGGGTTGAAGGTAGTGAGACCGGAAATCTGCATACAAAAGCATGCATCCGGGTTACGTAGAAAATCTTGGTACTCTTGATTTTGGGGGTTGATGCGGAATGAATCATCTATACCCATGATGGAATCAAGGTCTTCGTATGTGAGCCTATGATACTCCCCTTTCAACTAGAATGTGAGGACTCCCACTGCATCATCTCGTGCATAAGTGCTAAGAAATTCCATTGTGGGTTCCTCGTAAGTTCTGTCACAAAGTCGAAGAAAACCACACCAACCCAGTTGTAGGAACATATTGTATAGATTATCATGCACCCCAAGCTTTTTGGTTATACGTAGGTGCCAAAATGCAAGACTTGTTCACTAAAGGAATACTTTCAACTTGATTTGTGTGAAAAATCCAGTGGCGGCTCATGGTGGCTTAAAAATCCTGGGAAAATTTTTGGTGATATTTAGAGGTTTTGTTTGGTTAGATGTAAAGAGCTTTGAAAAAGAAACACTTTGGTGGTGTCGGAATTGAGAGAGGTGGCCGGAGTTGGTCGGAAAATGGCTGGAAAACAGCGAGTTGGGTGGTGGTGGCGCCCCTAAACCCGGCAATGGATCAGAGTAAAGTTTGGGTGGGGTTTGTAGAGCACAGAAAATGGTGAAGAATGGCGGTGGTGTCGTCGGATTTCGACCGGTAGAACTCCGGGAAATCGATTTTTAGTGAAAAGTGGGTTTATGTGTTCTTGAGAGTTTGAGAGAGAATGGTGGGTGTTTGAGAGAATGAAATGAGGAAGAAGAGTTGTTGGAGCTTTTCAATCCATATTCAAGTGTGGTCAACACCCGGTCAACGTTGGTGAACTCATTAAACCACCTGGTCAACGAAAGTCAAAGGTGGTCAACAAAATAGGGGTTGGTCGTCAGGACAGCACGCGGGCCGCGCAGAGGGGGCACGCGGGTCGTGCAACATATGCAGTTAGGTTCCATTTTTATGTCGCAACTTGAAGGTCAGCTGCGAACACCAGCCGCGCACCCGTGTGCAGGTCGCACAACATCCTGCTCCCGGTTCTCGATTTTTCTTCGTTTTCTTCCGTTTCTTCACTAGTTCTTGATTCGGAAGGCCCCAAACACCTAGAAACTATTGATTTCTTCAAGAATGACTTCAAAAGACGCATCAAAACATTTTCAAAACTTCTTTATTCGAATGTAGAAACATGAAAGCATAAAGCTTTCCGAAAATGCCCCTCTTTAACGTCATAGGCGAGACGTCCTTCTAGCTTGGTTCAACACACCGAGACATCCAAGTGGATGATTTCAATAACACTTGCATTAAAACCTTCATAGAATGGATTTAATCAGTGTCCAATCACTTTGAAAATTTGTCCTGTTTCTTCACTTTGGATTTCGACCGCTCTATGGTCAAAAGTCTTTATTACAACAAATGGGCCAATCCACCTGGATCTTAATTTGCCCGGGAATAAATTCAACCGTGAATGGTAAAGTAAGACCCTATGTCCCGGTTCAAAATTCTTCCGGGTGATGGACTTGTCGTGGAAGAGCTTCGTTTTCTCCTTATAAATCCTGGCGTTTTCATAGGATTTGTTTCTCAATTCTTCTAGCTCTTGGAGTTGAAGTTTCCTATGCCTTCCCGCCTCATCAATGTCGAAGTTGCATTTCTTGACCGCCCAAAATGTTCGGTACTCTAACTCGACGGGAAGATGACAAGATTTTCCAAAAACTAATCTGAAGGGCGACATTCCAATCGGGGTCTTATAAGCGGTCCGATAGGCCCATAAGGCATCGTCAAGTCTCAAACTCCAATCCTTCCTTGTCGGATTCACTGTTTTCTCTAGAATAGACTTCACTTCACGATTCGAGACCTCCACTTGACCATTCGTTTAAGGGTGGTAGGCGGTAGAGACACGATGGGTCACGTTGTAGTTTTTCAATAAAGCCTCCATCATTTTGTTGCAAAAGTGCGTCCCTCTATCACTAATCAAAGCCCTAGTTACACCAAATCTCACAAACACATTAGATTTTAAAAACTCGATAACCGTTTTGGCATCAACCGATCTTGTGGCTTTGGCCTCAACCCACTTAGAAACATAGTTAACCACGAGCAAGATGCAAACGTTGTCAAACGAAACAGGAAATGGGCCCATCAAATCAATCCCCCATACATTTTCACAAACAAGGATTGGATTTTGGGGCATTTGGTTCTTTTGCGAAACGTTTCCCGTCCTTTGGCACCGTTCACGACTTTTGCAAAACAAGTAACAGTCGCGTGACATGGTTGGCCAAGATAGCCCACATTCAAGAACCTTTCTCAAGGTTCGGCTAGGTCCGAAGTGTCCCCCACAAGCAAATTCATGACAGAATTGCAAAATGGATTGGTGCTCTTGTTGGGGTACACATCGCCTAATGATTTGATCGGGATAATGTTTCCACAAATAAGGTTCATCCCACACATACTATTTTGCATCACTTTTCAACTTGTCTTTTTGAGCACGTGTGAATGTGTTGGGATACCTTTTTGTGACTAAAAAGTTAACGATATCGGCATACCAAGGAATAGATTGAGTAAGGGAAAAGAGATGCTCATTCGGAAACTCGTCCCGCAATGGGAGACGAGTTTCATTTGAAGTGATCCGGCTTAGATGATCGACAATGAGGTTCTCGCATCCGCTCTTGTCCCGGATTTCCAAGTCAAATTCTTGTAACAGTAGGATCCACCGGATGAGTCTCGGCTTTGCATCTTTCTTCATCATCAAGTACTTAAGTGCTGCATGATCCAAATACACTACGACCTTGGTACCAAGTAGGTATTGTCTAAATTTCTCCAAGGCGAACACTATGGCCAATAGCTCCTTCTCCGCGGTAGAGTAGTTTCTTTGAGCGTTGTCTAGTGTCCTTGATGCATAATAGATCACGTGGGAGGACCTCCCATTCTTTTGACCCAAAACGGCGCTTATCGCATAGTTTCTTGCATCACACATGATCTCAAAGGGGAGATCCCAATTTGGCACTTGCATGATGGGAGAGGATGTAAGCAACTCTTTGAGCTTGTCAAAAGCTTCTTTGCACGCCTCATTGAACTCAAAATCAACCTCCTTTTGCAAGAGATGGCACATTGGTCTTGTTATCTTTGAAAAATACTTGATGAACCTTCGGTAGAAACCTGCATGGCCCAAAAAAGAACGAACTTCCCGAACACAATTCAGGTAAGGTAAGCTTTGAATAACATCAATTTTGGCCTTATCTACCTCAATTCCTTTTTTAGACACAATGTGACCCAAAATGAGACCTTGACTCACCATGAAATGACATTTCTCAAAATTCAAAACCAAGTTTGTTTCAATGCATCTTTTTAAAATTTTTGTGAGATTAGTCAAACATTCTTGAAGAGAGTTGCCATATACCGTGAAATCATCCATAAAAACCTTAATTATGTTTTCAACGTATTCCAAAAAGATACTAACCATACAACGTTAGAAAGCGGCCGGGGCGTTACACAATCCAAATGGCATTCTCCGGTATGCAAAAGTACCAAATGGACATGTAAATGTTGTCTTTTCTTGGTCTTCCAGTGCCACCAGGATTTGGTGAAAACCGGAATACCCGTCGAGACAACAATAATGAGATTTCCCGGCCAACCTTTCTAACATTTGGTCAATGAAAGGCAATGGGAAATGATCTTTTCTTGTGCTTGCATTGAGTTTGCGGTAGTCAATACATACTCTTAACCCGTTTTGCACACGAGTGGGGACCATCATACCTTTGTTGTTCTCGACCACCGTGATTCCCGTCTTCTTTGGAAAGACTTGCACCGGGCTCACCCACTTGCTATCCGAGATTGGATAGATCATCCCCGCATCAAGAAGCTTTAATATCTCTTTCTTCACAACTTCCATCATTGGTGGGTTCAATCTTCTTTGTGAATCCCGACTCGACTTGCATTCGTCTTCCATCAAGATCTTGTGGATTCAAGTGGAGGGGCTTAATCCCTTGATATCCGCAATCATCCAATCCATGGCTTCTTTATGCTCCTTCAACACCTTGAGGAGTTGTTCATCTTCAAATTCGGTTAAGTGAGTTGAAATAATAACAGGAAGGGTTTCATTCTTTCCCAAGTAGGCATACTTCAAGTGTTGAGGTAAGACCTTTAATTCCAATTCGGGTGGTTGAATAAGGGATGGAGGCAATTTTGTATGAGTTGGGGGAAATTCAATTTTGCTTGACATCTAATCTTGTAGATTTCTTCATCTCCATTTTATTTACCAACTTCTCAACTTCCGGATCCAAAGGATAAAGCTTTAATTGCTTGGCTAGCTTCCCACAATCGAATCCTTTGCTTAAGATCATCTCCAACATATCACTGTTAGATAACTCAAACAATTCTTGAGTAATTGGCCCAACAACATCAACAAAGTAGAAAGATGAAACATCACTAGGATATCTCATGGCATCATAAATATTAAAACTTATTGTTTCGCCATCAAACTCCATTGTCAAACTTCCCGCATACACATCGATCTTTTTCCTAGCCGTCTTCAAAAACGGTTTCCTAAGCAAGATTAGAGCCGATTTGGAGGACACTTGCTCATCTAGATCAATCACATAGAAATCCGCTGGGAAGACCGATTGGTTTACTTGCACTAGGACATCTTCTAAAACACCTCTAGGAAAGACACTTGATTTATCCGCAAGAGAGATTATGACATCGGTTTCACTTAAGGGTCCGACATTTAATGATTCATAAACCGAAGAGGGCATGACATTGATAGAGGCACCAAGATCAAGCATAACACTACTAAAAGTGACATCTCCAATCTTGCAAGGAACTGTGAAC